TGAACCCCCCCCCCCGCTGGATTCGCCACTGCTTCCTCCTACCTTGATGAACAAAGATTCAGTGCTGTGACAGATTTAGTGACAAAAAAGAGAAAACGAGGGAACTTGTATCTTCACCTCACTAAAAATATTGAACCGAACATTAAGAAACTGACTTCGAACCATCAAGCACAATCATCTTACTGACATAGTTACTTGAATGTTTTGTTGATACTACTCTTTAGAGTAAAAAAAAATTTTTGGGGGTTTTTTGAATTATCAAATTAAAAGAATAAATGACACTTTTTGACTATAGGTTTCTTTGTTGTACTTTTTTCATTACTGTATTTATTTTAATTAATAACAAATAGGCTGCAATTACCTGTAGGGAAAAAAGTATTGAGTTAACTTGCATATTTTTTTAAAAAAAAGAAAGCAATCAAATTTTAACGAGTAAGAAAATTTGCTTTAAAATGTTGCCTCTTATAATTCAGTATCCCCCCTCCGTCCCCATGCGCTAAATAACTGGATTTCCACAAAGGGGGTGTTGAAATTTTTAAAAGGTTGGTAGAAACGTTAAGCATTAATTAAAAATAAATGACTAACACACCTCCATTATTGGACAAAAAAGGGTTGAAAGTGCATCTTTAAAAAAATTTTGACGGAAAAAAATTCCTATCACCACCAGAAATTTGCAGGAACAAAAAGTTATTTCTTGGTACAACATTAGATTTCTAGAGAGACAGTGATTTTTTCCCAGAGATAGTATTTGTTCATTAGACAAAAGGGAGTGATGCATTCATGCACTTTGGTCAATCGGAAAAAAGACGAAAAAACTTATCAAAATTGGTAATGAAATCGGTCATAGCAACAGTGTTAACTCCTGTAATGGTGTCAGAAAAGTGAAATGGAGAATGCACTGAATTGGTTGGAACTGGACAACGTGACTAAGTCATTTACAATGAAAAATCAAAATTTATCACAAGAAAAAAAATTTATGAAATATTCTCTTTGAGAAAAAACGAATTATTTATTGAAATATCTTTGATAACTTTTGAAATATTATTGAAGGATGAATGTTTGCATTCTCAGAAAAATTAAGTTGAATACTCAAACTTAAAGGAAGTGGAATAAAATAGTACTTGGGCGAGAAGACACTGTAGTAAAACCATAGTAGTTAAACTGACCAAGAAAATTAACCAAAGTTAAATAAAAATCCTATAAAAAACATTATCTACCATTTTTCTGCCCAAATATATTTCTTTCTATTTTATTTTTTTTACATAGTTTCTTCCTGTTTTTATGAGAGGGAAAATTAAATTGATGAGTTTCATTAACTCAGCTCTTTATAATTTATTAAAACTCTTGTGTTAGTTATTTGTCCATTATTTTTTTTAATTCGCTTTTTTATTTATATTGCCTTTTATTTACTTTTCTTATAATAATTGATATTTTGATGGATGTGGGACATAGTTTGAAACTCTATTTTAAAATGTATAACTTTTGAATTTATAGCAAATGAAAGCTAATGAACGCTATTTGAAAAAGTTGGAATTTCATTTATCTAAGGTATGTAATCAAAGTCTACTTTGTTTTATAATTTGCTATTCCTATAGAATTATTAATTTTACTCTTTGTTAGTACTTATTGTTATTTTTATTTTAAATATAAATATTTCAGTTAGATGAATTAAAAGAACAATATGATGTTCAACAGCGTATTCGTGACGGTATGTTTTATTAGTTTATTTATTTGTTACTTGTATGTATATTTTGCTTAGATTCAATAAATAAATGTTTTTTTTTTTTTTTTTCAATTTTGTTAACTAGACACATCTGTAAACTTTATGGTTTAGCTGTATAATATTTAGTGTTTTACCTGATAGTGTAATTGTACAATGTAAAACAAATTAGCAGTAATAGTTATTTCAGGCACGTAAGTAAATTAAAAGTAGAGCATGCATTTAGTGTTAATTACTATTGCTGATTGTTTTGCATAACACAGCTAATCCTTTCAATGAGCTAATTGCAGGGTTAGATCAGCTGCTGATATTGCTCCTAATTCCTCCAAAAGGAAATTACTGCTCCAGCCTATTCTAAAATGTTTTTTTTATTTTTTTTATAAAATTGTTTCAAAATGTTTTTTCCCAAAATTGCTCCAAGCTGCTCCAAAACTCTTATAATATTCATTGAGCAAAAAGTGCAAATTTAGTTCAAATTTCCACCAAATTTGAGGCAAAAAATCAGTTTTGTTGCTCCAAATCCACAAGCAATTTTCGTTTTCAATCTAAATGTCTATTAAGGTGAGTTTTTTCCCTCATATAATGGGCTAGGTCAAGAATTTATTATTAAATAACGAATTTTTCTCATCCAGTGATTTCGCTTAAAACTCATCAAATTTTTGAGTGTACCGTTACCCCTCTAGCTGTGATCTCTAAATTTAACTTTAGTAACGGTTACCCAGTAGACAAATATCTAATGAATTACAGGAAACTCTTAACATTTTAAACTCATTTTTATTGCAACTCTAAATCTTCAAAAAACATAATTCCACACATTTCCAAATGCTAACATGGGAATAAACACTTCCCTTTATACATTAATTAAAACAACATGCAACCTTAAAACACTCANTTTCTTTTTCTTATTAGCTCTCAAGTAAATGTCAATTGAAAGAAAAAGAAAAAGATTACAGATTATCTGATTATAAATCTTAACATTCATTCTAAAACTACTTAAAAATAAAATACTAAAGAGCGCAAAAAAATTTCCCGAATTAAATTATTAGAGGTCACTTTTAATGAGGAAAATTGCTTCTCGTTTCTTCCTTCGTAATTGAGTCATTCAATCGGTAACGTTTAATTTTTTTTTCAAGTACAAATGATTGTTTTTCAAATCTAGATAATTGTTTATTTCGTTTCAATTAACATAGTAACAAGATGTTCTGACATAAAGTTACAATGATTTTATATTTTGAAGAAGTGTTATACGTTTTTGCGGTTCATAACAGTCGACCCAATTTAGAGTTTACGTCTACCAGCGTTCAATTCCATACCCCTGTAATTCTGAACCCCATCTGGAAGACAAAGGAACTCCTGGATCAAGTATTGGGAGAAATTTGATTCGTAGAGGACTTTTTGACGGAACTTACCTGCATTTGCGTTACAGGGCGAGAAAAACCATGGAAACCTACCACGGTTAGTCTGATGGCCTACCACGGTTAGTCCATCTACTGCAAGGATATTTTAAGTCTACGGTGTGGTCGGTGCGAGCCTACTGCGGAATTCGTATCGACCAGCCACCGATGGGATTCGAACCGGGCTCACCTCGTTGGAAGACTAACGCTCTTATTCCCAGATCCACCATTGCTCAATTAAGCACTGTTGGTGTCAATAATAGTATGGTTATTTCTTATGTTTATCATGAACGATTAATAATATTTGTCCATTAATTTTAAAAGAAATATAGGTAAAAATAGAGGCACTGTTCCGGAGTTTAATCAAAGAAAAACGTTACAAAAAGCATGAAAATTGACAAGTATTAATTTATTTAAAAAACATTTCTATACTGTACCGTTACCCCTCTAGCTGTGATCTCTAAATTTAACTTTAGTAACGGTTACCCAGGTTATACAGTAGACAAGTATCTAATGAATTACAGGAAACTCTTATCATTTAAAACTCATTTTTATTGCAACGATAAATCTTCAAAAAACACAATTCCACACATCTCCAAATGCTAACATGGGAATAAACACTTCCCTTTATACATTAATTAAAACAACATGCAACCTTAAAGCACTTAAGCATAACCTTCAATTCTTACAGTTAAAAAAAGACATTTAAGAAATAAAAACTGCATTTAACATTACTAAAAGCATTAAAGACTTGGTTTATAATGTCTATAAATCACAATTAAATACTCATTGTTCTCCTGTACAAAAAAACACAACATAAACAGTTCAGAATTTATGGTAAATGATTCCTCTGAAATTTTAGCGAAATAAAATTTAAAGTTTTATAAGTACCCAAAAGAATTTACTGTTCGCCCTCTGGAAACGCCAACCGGAATGGTAGATGAGCTCGTGGGCAAACTCCTTGGCTAGGATCTCACTATTTCTCCAGCTATTCTAACTTCAGTAGGCTTAGGCATGCAGAAGGGGAACACCAGACTTCCAGCATAGATACGTTCGGACTTGGCCCACCGTCTCGAAGATATCGGCCTTCGGCTAATACCGGTCGTTCTTCCCGCTAGAGACTTCAATTTAGCTTTCCTTAAGTTCACGATCCACCATCTCCGAGGTGCTGTCACGGACCACCCTTCCTGCGGACAAGCTCCGTATCCTCCGGGTTACTGCCTCTAGTCTAGCCACACTCTTCACTTCTCTTTTATCCTCCCTTCAGCAAGGCGAATGAATTCAGATTGACCTGTTTACCAAACCCAGAGTCATCCCGCATCCGGCGGACGTCAGAACCAAAAAAAAAAAGAAACCNAACCAAAAAAAAAAAAAAAATCCCTGAGAAAAAACAGTCATAAACCCACTAATACCCTATAGAAGTTATAGTACCATCCTCAATAAATATTAATAAATTTAGTTACCCAGATTTCACCCCAAAAATCCCATTTTAAAAGACTAATTCAAAATTTCTAAAAAAAAAAAATTTCATTATTATGATTGAATTTACTTTATCATAGTGGTGCCATCTACAGAAGAATAATCTATCTTTAAAAGTATTGAAAAAAAACTATAATAAAGTTCTATTTATTACATGAGGAAATGCAAAATATAAGTTATGACTCGTCCTTTGGGATATGTAATTCTCCAACACACTCACACTAATATATATATATATATTTATATGTCATGCTCCCCATAAGAAGTGTTGTTTTCTGCAAGTGCAATGGGATAGATAAATCGGATAAGATTAGTTTAAAAGTTAAGGCACTTTATCTGTAAAACTAAATAGAACAGCATTAAATCATTATAAAGAAGAAATCAAAATAACATTAAGACAACATTCTTTGTTAATGTTATATACTATCTGTACAAAATGCATTCAACTGAGCTCAAAGTCAAAAAGTAAATAAAGAGAAAAAAAATTCTAAACAGATTTTATTTTGCAAGAAACCCATTAAGTAAATTTTTCAGTTATATGTTTATTTAATTAATTCTTAGTTGCATTTTTATTACAACTGTTTTATTTAATAATGCTTTTTTTTCTCCAAGCTCTGTTAACTATGATAGGAAATGTTAATTTATGTGCTCAAATATGCTTAAAAAATCTAGTTTTATAAGCACTGTGTTTTTTAAAGACTATTTGCTCCAAAAGGATTATGCTGCTGTTGATCCCTGCAATTGATCAACTGTGTTTGTGCTAACAGAATTTATTAACAATGACTCTTCAAAATTAATCCACACTTTAACTAATACAAACAACAAAAATTACTATTTTAAATCATGTACAAGTATATTTAAATATCAAGGAATTAAGTAGAGTTGTTCTTTTTTATAACAAAAATTATTTATCCCTTTAAATTTAATCTGAATTATATAAATTGACCTTTTAAGTAAATTTTAAAAAATAATAAAGTATGAGATAAGCAGCATGAAATATAAATTAAACAAATTGATTCATAAAAGTTAAATTATTACATCTATTCATAAGTTTAAGAAAATCCAAATGTAAAACTATGTTCTCGCTAACCAGAAAATAAAATTGGGTATTTAAGATATATTTAGAATCAAAAGATATTAACTATATTTATAATTATACGTTATTGTGTTTAATTCAACTATTTACTGAAATTCACAAATGCAATTATTAATTCTTTCTTACTCAATTATTTTCTGGCATAACACACATTTTATAAAGAGTAACATTATTTATTAAATCAAAACAATCATCGTTCAAATCATCTGGCTTTATCACCTGGCATTTCTCTTTATAAAAAATTAACATTTTCCTGGATGAGTATTGCCACGATCATCCAGGATTAGATCAAAATATTCAAGCATACTCAATAGGACAAATTTCATTTTTACTGAAGACATGTTAATACTGACATTAAAAAACAAAAATAAGTATCAAAATTACTCTACCTAATAATGGATGATCTCAACTGTTTAAGAACACATTTTTGAGGTAATCATATCAAAACAAACATTTGTTCAAATCTAAATGAGCCTGCATAGTTTTAAGTGAATTCTACCAAAATAAAGTTTAACTTAATTAGTATTAAAAAAATATAACAAAAGGATTAATTTTATGAACCAACATTTACAAAGCAAATGTTAGCGAAGGGACTAAACCCCTTTTTGCATGAGGAAAACTATTTGATGTCTATCCCAACAGTTACCTAAATGAGAAGAGAATGCAAAATCAATTCATCATTCTAAAACGGAAATGTAGATGACTGGCAGATTATTGTTGCCATTGAACATTAAATATAACTATATAATAAGTTAAATCTAAGGTGATCGAAGTACTGGATTAAAATTTCAAGATTTGTTAAAGAAAAGTAAATAAAATAAAAGTGGAAATGCTAAAAACTTAAGAAAATAAATTTTTAACTATCATTTGTGATGTGAAAATAATGTTATTAAAACTTGAAATGAAAAAAGTAAATTGTTATGAAAAACTATAAAAGTTAGAAATATTTATGTTTTTATCTGATTGTGACTAGGTATACGGACTATGGGTTATGCTTACATTTTATCTCCTGGTAAGCAAAAAGAAGCAGCCTTACAAAAAGTTAGATCAGAATTCAAAGATTCCACTGAAATTATGTGTACTTATGAAAAAAAGCTGGAAACTTTGATGGGAACTCTCTTATTTGAAATGATAGGTAACTAAATTTACTTTGAAACTTAGAATTATTTTCTTGTAAATATGATATGATGTGATAGATATTTTCAGACTTTTTGTTCTTTACCTACTCTTATGCCAGTTTAAAGAAAGTTTTAACAATGATCAAAATTTCAGTATCACGATGATCAAAATTTTAATCATCCTGACATGAAAATTTTTATCAATTAATAAAATAGCTAAGTACAAAAATTTTCTGCCTTAAAATAACATCCTTAATGTGACAAGCCATATTTTTAAATGATTATGAAGCTAATTTCATTGTGAGCTCTATTATCTATATTGTTATTGAATCAAAAATTCAAAATGCTTATCACTAATCAAAATCCATTTCTTGAATTTCTCTGCTAATTCTTGTGGTATGCAATATTTACATTTGTGGCCTTGTATAACAAGTTAGGTTGAAGCCTGAAAAATTGACTGTCCTCAAAAATCACAAAAAATTTCTTAGATTTTATTTTTTATTCATGTATTAACTTTTAATAGTAAGTGTAAGCATTATAAACATACTTTTAGAAAATTACAAAAATATTTTTAGCACTGTTTAAAGTTTAATTGACATATTTTCCGTTTTTACTCCCTAAATTACTTTTAATTAGATTAGTGGGTGCATTTATCTCAGGGAATTTTTTATTACTATTCTGGTAAAATTATAAAGTACTTTAAAAAATTAGGATAAAATAAAAAATTGGAAAACCTGTAAATTTGTTGCTAAATCTTAATCAAAATGAGGCATGCTTATACATTTTTTGTTGCTTAAAATCATTTTAAAATAATGTATTTTCATATTAGCTCTGTAGGGGTTTCATATTACCCTCAACGAATGGGACTAAAAGATTTTAAATATTATTCCCATTCATCAGGACTAATATTAAACACACTTTTTTAGATCAGTTTTTGAGTCATGTTACATGAAAGTGTTACATGAACTACATTATTTTTCATTTTGGACTGAATTTTACTTCAAATGGTAATTAGATTTTTGTTTCATATCAGCATTGTATGATTATATATATTTATTGGTTATCTCTTTATTTATCGGTTCATGTTATAACAGATAACATTTATTATTATTATTGTTATTTAAAAAAAAAGATTTTTTTTAAAAGGCATACAAGGTTTCGCTAGAATATGTGCTGGAGACGTTTTTGAAGTAACCATAAAACACGGGGATCAAAGGTGGAAAAGCCGAGGAAGAGTTGTAAAAAATGGTGAGCAGATCTGGGAGAATAAAACAATTTCATTCAAATCTTTTTTCCGTGAGCCTTTAAGTATAAAAGTAAGTGAAGAAAAATATGTCTGTATCAATTATTTAAGTTTTAAGTCAGTAAATGTGAATTTTATTGTTATTCTGATGTGTATATTCAAAGTGCATTTTTTGAAAATTGCCTTGAGAATCTTATACTAGAGTTTTTTTTCCTTTATCCTAGTAGTAAAATATGTCAGGAAGAATTTAAGGCTTAAGGTTTAAAATGTTTCTTATAGTACTAGAGGGCTCCGCCCCCTGCTCGCTGACGCTCGCCAACCCCCCGGAGAATTGCTTCGCAATTCTTGCTTGGTTTGCTTCGCAAAACCAAGAATGCTTTGATTTCATATATTTCAATATTAAACTGAATATTAACTGTTATCATTGAAAAGAATTAATTTTCTTAAATGCAGAATAAGCAGTGTGTCAATATCAATGTCACTTTTTTTCGTTGACTACAGTTCCTTCTATGTCCTATTTGTTCTCTAAATGAGCCAAAATTGTCAGAAATTAACATCAATGTGCAGATATAATCTTAATATGAAACTTGTTAAAACCAGATTAAACTTACGAATTAACGTTTTAGAAAACAAATAATCAGATTAATCAATATATCAATACGAAATAAGTTGAGATGTTGTAAAACTGAAGAATGAAATTCTAACTATTTTGTGATTGGTTGCATCTCTGAAAAAGAAAATTCAGACTTGTAAATCGCTTTTTTAAGCCTGCCGTTTTCAGACATGTGATTGGCTGTTGTGAACGGCGGTTATTCTTCATTATTAACTGCAAAATCGTGCTTTAAAACTAAAATAAATAAAAATTTAAAATTATGTAAAAGATTTGAATGCCCTAAAAGGTTCCCTGAAAGGTTCTGAATGAATTGATTCCTTAATCTTAGATTTTCATCACGTAGTTAAAAAGTTTTTCAGGGGACAAAATTAACTGCAAAAACTTTTTTTTAGAATAGAGAGAAAAATGTTTTTTTTTTTAAATTTAATTTATGATTTATTTATTTATTTTGTCTAGTAATAAAATGTTCTGCTATCTAGTGTTTTAGAACATTAAATACATCACCAGCTTAAGAAAATGCATTGATTTATTCTTAATATGAATTGAAATAATTAATAGTTTACTAATAATTATAGTTTACTCTGCACCTTGCTGCATATACACACCAGTTGTTTAGTCAGCTGTCTAGATCAAACACTCTATTCCCACTGATGTGAGGGATGCTTTTATCAACTGTGCCACCAGAACACTATTGTTATGCTTACATTTTAGATATTAATTTTTCAATTTTATTCTTATGATAACTTAGCCAATCTTCTTTATCAGTTTAAAACTGTTCTTTTTAAAATCATTCAATTTCTATGTGTATTTAGTTTGCATTTAATAATGTTGATAAAGCATGAAAAATGGACTATAATTATTTTTCTTCTTAATATCACTAAGCTAAGCATTGTAAATAATATTTTAGTTAAAGTAAGTAAAAGTTTTTTTTTTAATTATAAATCTTGCTGTAATATGAAAATTAGAAATTTGGTTTGCACTTTTTAATATCTTTTTAAGTTAAGACTGATGTATACATGAATTGTTTTTGTTTTAGCTGATAAAGATAAAAATTTAGATATTAACAGATACACATATTTTTTTTCTATCTTTATTATCAACTAAAAATAACATTTTAGACAATATTTTAAAAAATGCTCCCAAATAAAAAATATATATCCCTCCAAAAAACTTCAAATAACATTCTATAACATATTTTTTGTTATAAAGAAAAAAGGCGATTTGCTTTTTTAACATTTAGCTCAGTTAAATGGTCGTCATAGGAAATTTCTATGCATTTGTGAAAAAAATTTCATTGTGTGACACATTGTGAACAAATTGTAGTACAGTAGAGACCTGATTATCCGAAACAGCATGGACCTAGGCTTACTTGAATAGCCAAAAAACTAGATTTACCCTTTTACGCAGATGAGTACTGCTGCATAAATTATTAAAATGCTAAATGTAATATTTTTCACTTATCTTGACATAAATTAGCACAAAAGGATGAAACAAGGGATTAAAGCAAAACTTATAAATAAAATAAATCATTTAGGTTTAAATATATATTTTAAAGTTAAAATATAAATTTTGAAATTAAATTATATTTTACTTTGCAAAAATTTTACATGTGTGTTTACCACATCCAATTTGTATTGATATTAAAGAGTTCTTCCTTTAAAAAAGTCCTTAATTGTTTGTCCAAAAAGAAAAATAAAATTATACTGTTTAATACTTCAGTTAAAGCAGAAATTTAAAAAAATCAGGTTTCAGATAATCAAGATTTTACTGTATTTATAGTACTTACAGAGATGCCAACTATTACGGATTTACCGTAATTATTACGGATTTTATGACAACATTATGCTATTATGGGCTACTCCCCCAAAATTACGGAAAAATAATTTTTTACTCATCCAAAAGTTTCATTCTATAATTTTTCCCTTTAAGAATCATTCTCATTGAATCGTATTGGTCGATGAGGACGGTGATCCGAAATGCGTTTTTGGATGCAGTGAGAATGCTCCTTATAAATGTGGTGCTTCTAGCTCTCGCATCAATGACGTCACGCTTTCGATCCGTCATGTCAACAGCACAGAAATAAGTGGTACTTACTGTCAGCATAAACAAACCATCGTTTATGTCACGCTATTTTTTAACGAAGATTTAATGAGCAAAAAAGCCAGTATATGTAAATAATCTAGCACTCAATACAATGGAACGTCAAGCCAAAAAAGCAAAGGCAGGGCTGCCATTGGCGACTAAAAAGGCTACTAAAGCGACTTTTTAAGCAATAGCAACTAGGGCGACTATTTTAGTAGAAATATGAGTAAAAACAACTAATTAGCAATGAGTTTCATAAAATTGGCGACTTTTTAAGCCAATTAGCGACTAAAATTAAGAATAACTTCTTGAGTTTCCCTCTTCCCCCACTTTTTTTTTTTTTGCCGCGCGTTTTCCTTTCATCCAAACTTTATTTTTCCTCACTGATGTCAAAAGCAAGACAGATATGTTTAACCAATTAGACTAATGGAATTGGAATTTGTCTTCTCTTGGAATTGGAATTTGTCTCGCTTTGTCTTGTCTTATAGAAAAAACAAAAGCATTATCAAACAAAGTGTTTCTAAAGGAAATTTTCTGATGCTGAGATAGCAGCTGCAAAGCAAAGTACTAAATTAGATTTACATATAACAGATAAATAAAAAAAAACTTTATTGAAGTTTCAGTTTTTTATTTTGTGTTCTATTATACAAGCATGTATTTATGTACCTTTTTAGATCAATCTTTAACTCAAATTTTATCTTTTTTTAAACAGAACAGTTTTAGATTATGAATTTTTAAAATAATTATATAATAAATTAATTCTTATTAAATTTTAATTTATAGTACCATCAAAATAAACATTATATCTTTAATATTAAAATTATGAGGTAAAACTTTATTATTACTGAGGATTACTGAAAATCATTATAAGTTATGTGTGATTATTACTGAAATCATAATTTGCAAGTTGGCATCTCTGTACTTAACCCTTATTTTTGTAATTATAACTTACTTAGTTATTAGCTTTTTTAGAAAAGTTGTTAAGCTTTTCTGCTTAGATAACTATATTGCTGGCAAGTTGTGCATTAATGTGACCAATTTTAAAAACTAGTAAAGAAATGTTATTATGTGAAGAATTTTTTAACCAATTTATTATTAGATTATTATTCAAAAATGTTTCTCTTTTTTGTAAATGGCAAATTTTTACCTGTAAAAAAATTCGTTTTTGAGTTTTAAATGTGCTAGTTTTTAAATGATTAGATTTAAATGATATTAATGCTAGTTTTTAAATGATTTTGAGTTTTAAATGTGCAAGTATAACTACCCTGGCTACTTTCTCTATTTTTTAAAAAAGAATTGTAAGAAACTCATACTATGTATCTAATTTTGAAGCAATTTAATCAATATTGCCCCTTTTGCTACTTTTTAGTGTCTTAAATAGCCACATAATTTAATGTATATAATTTAAATCTTTTAATCCTAAATATATCTACAATTGGAATTATACAACTCAGGCCATCATTAATGCCAACTACTCATAAATGACACCTTTTAAGTATTAAATTTTATCTTTGCTGAATTGAAGTTCATTTAATATCTAATTTTCTTAGTTCACATGTACTTTTTGGATTAGGAGTTATTTTTCATTGTGAATTGCTTGATAACATAAAGGAATAGTGTGTACGAAGAGGTAATAAATAAATAATTATGAGAGAGAGAGTGACTCTCACAGCAATCTTTGTGTTTCCTGGACACATTTCAGGAAATTCCCACTATCAGATTGCTGCAGAAGTTTATAAACAAAAGAAAGAGTTTATAAACAAATCTCACTGTCAATTTTTCCTCCAGACCTACTGACTTTGAAAGATGTAAAATATAAAATATAAAAATGTAAAATAGATAGATGTAAAATATAAAAATTTTGCCTAAATGATTCTGAAACTTTTAAATGCCATTATTTTTATACTATATTCTTTTACCTTGCCATTTTTTAGAGCAGTTCAATTGATAATTTTTATTTCTACTCTGTTTATTTTTGAATTCCAATTTTGTATTTTTTCTGCTGAATTTTCTTTTTAAATTGACCAGGAAGCATCTGTTTTTAATCACTTTTTGCCATGACATCTGTATTTTGTTGTGCATAAATAATTGAAGTATGAGAAGAAATTTTTGTTTCGCATTAGGAAATACAATTCTATGCCATAAAATTTTTTATTAAAATAGTGAGTTTATTAGTTTGTATAATACATAAGTTAATTAATGAAAGTTTATTAGTAAGTATTTAAGTAGCTGAGTAAAAATGTGTTATTTAAATATAAGTTGGTTCATCAATTTCTTGCATATATTTGGCAGCTTTTTATTTTACCTTTTGTATCTATTTTAACTCGTTATTTATCTTATTTATTTATTTTTTTATCCGTGAAATTATATCTAACATTAAAGCAGTATTCCATCGCTGAATTTAAGCTGTCCAAATAAATATTCATATTAAAAATGTTCTATTTTTTTTCCTTCGATATATTATACAAAAATTAGTTGTTGACAATAAATTACTTTTAGTGTGTTGTTTAATGTTAAATATTACTAAATATTAAAGCAATTTTTTATCTTTTACTTTTCCAGGCTGTTGAAGTTCGAGGATTAGGAAAAAATATATTGCTTGGAAATAAAGTTTGTGAGACCAGAGATTTGTTTTGTGCCCATCCTCAACAGATGACGATAAACCTCAATCCATCTGGTTCTCTTAAATTGAATTTAATAATTACATGGCAGTAAGTATTTTTCATTACTATTGCTCATTGCTTTATTAAATGTAATATTAATATTATTTTAAATGCTTGATTTTCTTTATTTAGTCCTTTGAATGCAGCTCAAGATGGTATGCCTTTTCAAATGTCTCATTCTATTGGAAGGAATAGCCACAGTCTTTCAATGATGCATGAATCTGATCAATTTTCTGATTTTTCCTCTTCTGTAAAACAAGTAACTGCTTAATCAATTTATTATGAATATTAATTATTTGTTTCATTAATCACTACTATCAGTTGAAGCAAATGCTCTGCACATTTTTTGAAAAAGAAAGAATTGACTAAAGTAATACAAATTGATATAAAAAATTTATATATGATGCATATTTAAAAGCAATGAGTTTTCAGTTGTCTGATCAAAAATCTAATTCAGATAGGATGAACAATTAATTACCCTGACAATCATTAATTGAATGAAATAGAGTAGTATAAAGATTTTAGAAATTTTTACTTTTTATGACATTAATTTCATTGACTACTAACTTCATTTTTTAATTGCTAGAGTTCTGTCATTAACTTCTGGTATTCTGCCACACTTAACTAGAAAGTTTTGTAAACTTTTTAGTCAAAAATCTACAATGTAAATAAGCTCAAGTATATTTTAATCTTATTAAAAATTAATGATAAAAATTGAACTAAAATTTTATTAAAAGTTTTTTAATTCTTTAAAAGTTTATAGTTTCTCAAAAGTAAAGCCATAAGCAAGAAAACTGATGATCAGATAGAGACTCCCTTAAGCTTTTATAAAAACTGCGCTAAGTATCGTATACTGTAATAAGCTGTTAATTTTTTTCTTTTTTTTTTTGGTGTATTGCTATTTTTTTTAAATAAGTATGATTTATACAATAATTTTTAAACTTTACTTTCATCATTAAAATATGTTTTAAATAAATTTTTCTTCAGAACTTATAGTAATTTGTCATTACATTAATTTATAGTAATAATTATTAATTATAATTATTACTAATTATAAATTTATTATTATTAATTAATAATAATTGAGTTATAAGTCTCTGCTATGTCAATTGACTGTATTTTTGGAAATTTTTAGGATCATTACATTTAATATTATGCATATTAAGTGGAACAAAGATTTTATATGAAAAATGGTTTATTTTATAAGGCATGATTCTGACATAGGAGCTTTGTCATGGTAGTTACATTACTTTCCAAACCCTTAGGTTCATCAATTGAGGATTTGAAAGTCTTACTTTTTCAATTATAAGATGTTTAGAACACTTTCCTGTTATGCAAAATATTTAGTAGTAAAGATTTAATAATAAAATTTTAAAACTTTCGTAGAAAAACATTTATTAAAAACTTTCAGAAATTATTATCATTTTTTTTAAAAAATCCTAATCTTATATGATTTAAGTTAGAACACTCTTTGTAGAGATTATTTTTGCACACAATTTTCATCAATATCTTATTTTAGCTGTTGTGTTAAAAGAAGCGGCTCATGTCTGTCTTTTTTTTTTAATGACAATATTCTCATCTGTTTTTCTAAAAAAGAAAAAAATTGTCAAAATTTTTTTGTATTATGCTTATTTTCATTATAATATTTGAGTATTATTAGATGAGTCTAAAAAACTCTAGTTTATATTGCATGATAAATTAATAATTTTTCTTTTAAATTATGAAGTTGATGTGGAAATAATATAGTTTTGAAATATTGAATTTGTTTGTAGTTTTGAAAACTCCAACTAAAATAGCACCTTCAAAAATTATACTTTTGAAATAAATTACTTTGTAATTTCTTAAAGCGTTGAGCCCCTGAGTAAAATTTTATAGAAATTTTCCTCTCTGTGGTGCATCAGCCTATGAGAGGCCAGTGCACATCACAGTTTTCTTGACCTTAGGGTCAAACAAATTGTTCCAGTCAGTTGGTTAGTCGTGTGCGGAACCCTCAAGCATGCTTGGTACTTATTTTATTGACCCACTGAAGGGATGAAAATCTTAGTCGACCTTGCTGATCTGAGGATAGAACCCTGAACCTGTGGAATGAGATTGTGAAACACTAATACTCAGCCACCAGGCCTTGCAGACATTTTCCTACTATGCACTATTTCCCATTCAGTAATCCGTTTTTTGCAGGGAAGTCTGCATCTAAAAGTTTGGAAACAGTTATGACTAATGCTCAGAGATATAAGAAATTTATTGTAAAATTTCTAACTAGCCAATAGGATCATATATCTAAAAAAAAACTTTTTGTACTGTTTTTTTTATTTATTATTTTCTTGATACTTCTTTAAATTATTTTACCTTAAATGATTGATACCTGGAATTGATTTTTAACTATGAATTGCCCTTTTAAACGTAAAAGGTCCTCCTAAGTCATCTTTTTAACTAGAAATGGTTCTCTTTTCCCATTTTCTTTAGTTAAAATGTGAACTGGGAAATATAGTTTTCAAAAACCTCAAATGTTGAAGGACATGCTATGCGTCTGCTTTGTCATAAACTTAAAACTGCATCTTTTATCCTATGTATATATTCTTATAGTCAAGATCATATAGACTCCCATATGCTTATATAAGGGTGATTCTCACGAAATATGACAATTCACTGTCCGTTGCTCCAAGATCTAATACTATAATACTAAAAGAATTTTTTTTTTAAAAAATCACTAAATAGCATTCTTGTTAGCATTTTTAAATGACTTTGCACCAGCATTAACTGTTTTGTATGGTTAAAAAATTTAATTGAACTTCAAAATTTCATGTTTCTGGCATGTCACAAACAATGTTTCCAATAATATCTAGCTTCAAAACTTCCTGTAAATTTTTCAATATCTAATTTCTTTTATCTAATTTCTAGAATGTACGCAGAGAGTGTTATTTACGAAAACTTCGTTTAAATTTTTTTTTTTCTGTCACTAATTTGTCTGTCCCAAGAAAATCTGTCATTTTCCTGGCTACTTTTATTTAGTGGTTTATAACTAAAGTAGATAGAGCCAGCAATCAATATCTTATGTTAATAGATTGATTAGAACATGTCTAGTTGCATCAGTGAAGAACCAATTTTCTGGTTCAAAATCTATTTCAAAAATTTTTTTAGGTGAGTAGGTTTTTGTGTTGTCATTTTCCTGGCTTCTTGAAATCATTAATAACATAAACTACATAGATTTACCTGAGTTATTTTAAGAAATCCTGTTGTTTTCTGCAGAAAATAAACGTCTTAGGTCAAAATATTAAATTAAAGTAAAGTTATATGCTATAAAATGGCGAATTTGTCATTATCCTGGCTTATGAATTCCAGGACATTGAAGTGTTACCAGAAATTTTTTTTAACTGCTAATACTGTAAGGAAGGAAAGCAAATATTAACCTAATACCAAGTTTATGTGTGATTGTAATATGCTTGGATGTAATCAAAGTTATTTATTTATTTAATAATTGATTATTATACACAATTTTATTCTGTACATATCAGCATCAAAAATTATTTTAATTCTTTCTACAGTGAATAAAAAGAATTAATTTAAGCAATTTATGGTCCACCTAACATAAAAGCTTAAGTTGCGTCACTTATTATTAACTTAAAATGACTATTTTTTAAACTTCTAAGCTAATATGTCATTTTCCTGGCTTTCAAGATTTGGTGAATTTCTATTTTATTTTTTTTCTCGAGCAAATGTCAGTAAACTACACTGCTGTCTGTAAGATATTAATAAGTGTAACTAAAGAAGTATACAAAAAAAAAAAAATTTTAGATTATTTTGAAGACTTTAAATTCCAAGAAATTTTTTGGTCAGAATTGTCATGTTTTAAAAGAATCACCCATAAAGACCCCATGAAGTATCGTAGAATGATACTGTGATAAGCTGTTTAAAATTTTTTGTGGTATATTGCTATTTTTTAAATAAGTATGATTTATACAATTATTTTTAAACTTTACTTTTATCATTAATATATACATTTTAAATAAATTTTTCTTTAGAACTTAAATTGATTTGTCATAACATCAGTTTATATTAATGCCATTATATTAATATTTCTTATAGAACTTGTTGCAAAACTCTTCTTTCTGTGATAATTCTGGTCTTAATCAACCAGCACAAACTAATGAGGAAATTCCTAAAGCTAATGATACAAAAGTTAAGCATTCTCTCAGTTGTGATTCAGTGAATTGTAGTTCCAATTGTTTACTTCAAAATGGAACTGAGTTAAAGAAGAATTCAAATCTTAATGATTCCCAGACATGGTCTATTCCATTGAGTGAGGATATATCAGATTCTCATAGTGTCTCACAATCTGAAGTAACTTTGCCTGAAGTATTTAAGTATTTAACTTTGTTGTTAAATGAATTTACTGAAACTTATGATGAAATAGTAGAATTAGCTGCCTTCTTAGAAGAACTCAATCTTCTTTTAAGAGTAAGTATAAAGATGATTTCTACATAGCAATGATACTCTACATTGTTTTTTTCCCACTTGTACTAAATTAGTATTCTATGTTCTAAAAATTTTGGTTTTTAGCTGAATTAATGCCTCTATTCTAATAAATAATCCAAAAAATTAGTTTATAAATATCATGTGTTACACATAGCTTCCAACCTCTATGAAGCTCCCTAATTGCAGCAGAATACTGGTAAACTTTATAAAGCTATGGTGAACATTAAAAAACTGCAAAATCTGCTATTTTTTATTTTTAAGGTGCCCGTCTTTCATTTCTGAGCAACACGCTCGGTAAATCACTAATTTACTGTCACTAATCACTAATTAAGATGTGTGAACAATCGTTTTTTCCTCTTATAAATGGAAAATTGATTTTATATTGTGAAGGAAACCGCACCTTCCCTCTCACTGACGCCAATGACTGTAACAAGTGACGAGCATTCTCTTTGCATGCGGTTGTTGCACTTCGATTATTGTTGAGAGAAAAAAAGAACTTGGTTGGTGAATTTTTAGCTGAAATATATATTTCCCCAGTTAAGTTAGCATATTTCCTTGATTTTATTCTACAGTTATGAGATTTTCTTGTAACTGTTTGCAATTATATTTTATAGAGGATGCCTATTCAAGATATATTTCTTTCAGAAATATCTAATTATGAGGGATCAGATTGTGTCAGGCACAAAATAAGTAAAATTACAGCTCTAGGGAGTGTTGAAATCCTAACACTTTCCAAATGGATGTTGGCAATTCTTGTTGTGCCCTTATAACAATGCACCTACAGAGAGAATATTCTCAATGATTAAAAAAAATCATACTGAATATCTTGTTAATTTTCAACACTTAGAAGCACTTTTGATTTGAAATTTGAAATTGACTGTTGCTGTAGTAAAATTTTCTCTTCAAGCAAATTGAAAGCTCCAAATCTAACTTGTTACTAAGTTTTATAACAAAAATCCTCTTTTTTTTAATATTATAAATTATATACAAACTAATATTAAGAGATTCTAAATTTATTAATATTTGATTCATTTTTTTCTTTTCTTTGTTCTTAAATATTGATTCAAAACTAAAATGTCTACATTTTAAAAGTAAATATATGTGAAATGTGTCTTTACTTCAGATTTTAAATCCTGCTGATATTATGTACAGTATTTCATACTAATTTTTCACAGTATTGAATTTATTATCTTGCAAACATGGTTATGATTATGCTAATAGCTGTCACAAAGTCTATATTTTGCATTAGTTATACAGTTGCACTTGTTAAATTCGACTGAACTACTAAAAATTCTCTGGTAATCTTAAGATAGGCTACTGAAAGCTTTTATTCAATGCTGGCAGGCCTAGTTATAGTTTTTCTTGCTCTATATTCTTTTACTATCATAGTTTAGATCACCATAAACGTTTTTTTCTTTCTTATTTACTAAACAAATATAATTAATGGGATCTTACTTTAGTTCATTATCTGAATGTGTGACTAAAGAATGTATCCTCTCAATATTTAGCTCTCTATAATAAGTCAGTCTATCATGTTTTATTTAAGTGTAACTGAAACTACAACTGGAACCCATGTTTTTTCAAGACTACTAATCTGTTAAATTTTCTTTATTAAAAACTTGTTTTATCTAGTGTTACCTAAGTACGAATCATAAAGATTTATTTTGAATCAGGTAAAGTCTAGTCTTTTTTTTTCAACTTTAAAGAATTAGGAAAAATTGCCTAAAATTATAAATCTAGTTAGATCTACAGTGCTATGTCTCCACATAAAGAAATACCCTTTTTTCTTGTTTCTAGGGCTTGCACTTATTTACATTAAGTGGCAAAAGAGATGATGCCAGTTAACAAATAACAGTTTATAGTAGTTAATTTTAAATTAATGTTCTCTGAAACAAATTTAATTGAAATGCTTTTTGATATTTTCATGCAGTTATGAAAGTAGGCTTAGAAACAAGATAAAATGTGAAAATGAGTATTTGAATTTATTCTTGGCATCTAATTCAGAGACTTGGTCTAAAAGTCACAGAAGTCCAAAAAATTGTTAAAACACATTGTTTACTGTAAACTATGTTTTTATTAGTATAAGATCTAAGCACAAATGTAACATGAATCTTCTCTTTTATGATAAATTATGTGGGGTAAACTATATAAATCATGTGTCTATTTTAATTTTATTTCCCTCAACAGCAATTTGTAAATCAAGATTTAGGTACCTTGTTCTTGTACCAAGTCCCTTAATTTTTAAATTGTTATAAATTTAAATTTCTTATTATATTTGATATTAGTTTTGCTGTTTTCTATTTTTAACACTTTTTGTTATTTTAAATGAAATTTTGATATTGTTATAGAGTATTTTTGAGATTTAGTGCTGTCTGTTACAGGGTAAAGAATGCAATACATCTGGTTCAAATGTCAGTATTTCTGTTGAGAGTGCTCTGGGCTGCTTTGATTTTTTAAATACTGCCATTGAAAATGAAGAGCAAGATACATCAAATGATAGGTATCAGTAATATTTTTTCTTAAATGATTTAATAATTGATCAATAATAGTTTTTTTTTCTGAGTACTTACAAAAATTTGAAATCTTTGCCCTTATTTTTGATTGAAAAACTGCAATGTGTGTTTTGAAGGGTTTTTTTTTTTTTTTTTTGGTTCAATGAACTCTAAAATTTTCATCATTATTTTTATTTAGTTATTAATGTAATGATGAATAGCACAGCACAAAAATATAGATGAAACGAAATTTTTACATATAACTTAATCACAAAAAATTCTACTTCTCACTCCAAACTTGAAAACTCAAACAACAACTCCCAATCTTGGCAGTATTTTATCCTGTTTCTTTACAATCTTATTGTCAGCTGCTATGTGGCATAATTTTGCAAAATTCCTTCTGTCTTATGCCTATTGACTTCCAATTTGTTTTTGTGCTGTTTCATTATATATCTTGTTTTATGTTCTGTTACAATAATATCTTACTGTTATTTCAGAATGTCAGAAGATGGTAAAAATACAACAGACCAAAGTAACGAAGCAGTGGAACTTGAAAAACAGTTTCAACATTTAGATATTTGTCCCCTTGCATTAACTTCAGGCAATGAAGAAATTGATATTGTACTTACAGAGCATTTAAGTTATATCACTATACTTGTTTCTGTAAGTATTTTTATATCTGCTCAAATGTATGTTTTTTTTAATGTTTATTTTTCTAGTTTTTTCTCTACTTTTTGCTGTTTTAAAGGTATTTTGCTGCAATGTTAGTTTTTAATTTCACCCTATAAATTCAAATACTTTTAAGATTGTTATGGTAATATGTACTTTTTCTTAACAGGCTAATAGTGCATTCGCAGCAAAATGAGAATATTTGCCACTTCTCTATATTAGATATAAGACAATATTTTCAATCATGGTTTTTTTTATTTTAATTTTTAAAAAAAATTAATTTAAAAATCAGTAGTTAATTCAATTTTCCTTTATGTTTTTATGAATGTTTATTAAAAGTGCATATTTATCAGGCAGTTCTAATATATTTTAACTTTTAATAAAATTAGAAATCGAAGGAAAATTAACTTTTACATTTATTTTGTTCAAGTTTTACATTTTATTCTACATAAAGCTGTTTAACATGATAAAAAAATAAATTAAAAAAAATATAATTGATTACCTAGTAAAAAATAGATATTAACAAAAAACATTCTTAAATTATTTTTATCTGAATCTATTTGATGTGATTCTTGATTTTCCACTTTCGTATTATCATGAATTATTTAATAGAAGCTAATAAATTACTTAAACAATTTTTGTGCCTCCACTCTGACTATTGCCTTTAACAAGAGCCATCACAGCCACTCGCTCTGTACTTCACTGAATGAAATGAATTTTTATAAAATGCCGAGATTTCAGAAATATTTTATGCTTATTGTATTATGCGTGCAGATATATATTTGCAAATAATATGTTCCCAAAACTTATATGAAACTTAAAATAATAAAATTTTGAGACTTCAGGATTAAGTTCCCTGATTTTTTATGTGTATTTTTTAAAGCAAATGCATTGATACAGTTTTGAAATTAATTGTTTTGAGATTTTAAGCTTTAAGCAACAAACAATATGTTTCACATGCTTTATTTTTGTTTATGCAAAACTATCCCTGAAGAAAGAGTAAAAAAATTAATATAAAACTAATAGTGTTAAAGGTTTTGAATTTTAGCAATATAAATAGTTTAAAGTTTTCTAATTTGTGTATCTTAAATCTATATTTATAAAACTAATTACAGAAAATGGATTTTTATGTATTTTTTCCTTGTGTGATGTTATTGGTTTGCAATTTAGATGTTTTTCAATACCTAAATTGAAAATCAGTATCTAATAATAATATCTTTTATTTTAGTCTGTTCATTTTAATCTTGAACCATTCAAGTGTCTTCAAAAGTCTACCTTAGAGAAAATTAGACGCCAAATAGTTTGCCTTTATGCTTTGACAGATAACATTAAAAATGAAGCATTTACTACTAGTAAGTCGCTTTGCTATATTCAAATGCATCATTTTTTTAAGTAATTAACATCTGTTTTAATATAACACACTAAATATGATCTATCAATTTCTTTTCTCATTTTATAGCTAAAATTTATGTATTTTATTTTTGTGAAAAAAAATATCTCTTTCATTCTATAAAATACCTGCATTGGATGCATGGATTATCACATTTTTAAAAATGATTAAAGATAAATTCTTCAAATGAAATTAAAGTTTATGCGGTTTATATAGTCAAGATATATTTCTCTCAGGTAATGGCAGTACTTTTATTTTATTGGCTTACAAGAGTGAGGTTTGTGTCTACAAAAGTGATATGCCTAGAATAATTGTAAGTTTTTAATAATAATGTTATGAACTATTTTTTGGATCATGACGTTTACAACATTAAGGTTATTCAAGTGACATTTCATACCACCTGCAGAATAGAAACTACAATTTTAAATTGCTAATTTAATACTAGTCATGGAGTTGATGACATGGGCTGAATATATTGCCAAGAAGCATAAGTAATAAGTACTTACAAAAATTTTAGAACTTATTCCAACTTTACTTACTTTCAAATTAAGCATGATTGCTTCTCTTCTTAGTTACTGGTAAGAGTCAAAAAATTGGAAACATTTAAAAGTTCATCACTCCTGCTGATGTTTATCTGTTTAATCTACATTGGTGGACAAAATTAAGAGATGGAAGACATTTTCCCAAATATCTAAAAAAATACTCAATATAAATTAATGAATTTCGTTATGGATATAGCTTATTCCATGATAATAAAGTATGCAAAACAAAAATGAAAGTGCCATTCACTGGCAAGACCTTTTGCCAATAAATCTAATGTAGTTCGAACTTAAGGATAAAAGATGACAATAAAAGTGAGGCTTGTACAGTGTGTGTTGCCTCTAGTATGGCTCTAGGACCTGCCTGTACCTCTGGGCACTTACGGAACCATTGTCAAACACATGGAGCATTGTGCGGGTATCTTGCATGTGCGAAAATGCTTTCCATCTCTTAATTTTGTCCACCAGTGTATATATCACGGACTCACATTAACTCTTATGTCCAAGACGAGGAAGCAGATTTATTGTCTAAAAGAAATTGCTGCTGAATCGGTACAAAATCTTAGTATAAGAGTAAATTAGATTTTTTTGAGGGGGAGAATTTATACCTGAAATAAAGCTTATGCTTATTTCATGTCAAAAGACCTACAATAGTAAAATTTTTGTAGTGATGTATTTATTAAGGTATCCAAGGGATGATTAGAATTCTGTTCAATTTTAAACTGTTAAGTTTAAAAGAGAAAACAAAAGTCTCATTACTTTATTAAAAGTCATATTGAAAGCTTAAATTACTTTTTAATGTTAGTTTTTTGTTATTTCATTGAATAGAAAATTGACACCAACATTCATTCCATTTATCCTCAAGGTGCTATATTGAATTTCTCTCCTGTGTGACATGGGACATTTGTCAATAAATTTTTAATTTCTAATTTACCCTTTTTCTTATTTTCTATTTATACATTTCAACTTAAATTGATAAAGTGAGTCTGTGATACAATAAGTTATATTTACAGTTCTCTGAATCAATTTTTATTAAAAATCTTCCCTTTGTTATGCTTTTTAAATTTAGTTTTTTTTCATTGTTGTTTTTTTGTACTTTATGACCATTTCATTGATTTTTCTCTTTTAAATGGCATAAATTAAAAAATGTAACATGTACCATTGGTGCAAAAATTATTTCTATTGTACTAAAAACTCTTGATTATGCTTGGCAATTGACTGGCAAGATGCAGTCCAATAACTGCAAATAATTCAGTATCTGCTGCAAAGAGTGATTATTCAATTGTGCAATTCAAATTTGGAGTGTCATAAGAGCATCTTTTAAAACACATCTGCATTTTAAAAACTCCCCAAATCAAGCTTGTTAAAACAGGATTACTCAAACCATCTCTAATTTAAATGCCGTAATATTATATTAAAAATATGAAGATTTTATTGATTTGATCCAATTTTATTTCACTGAATTTAAATTTTTTTATCAGGGAAGAATTTTACAATGCGATAATTTAGAAAAAAAAATGTGGCAATTTTTTTATTGGACAAAAAATTTCCTCCAAACTTCATTTATGTGATCAGACATATTTTACATCCCTTCTGACTTGTGCTCATAATTGGATTAAAGTTTTTCCCTCATATTTTTTGATGACGAAGGAACCGCAATCACTTAATTAGCGCATTAACAGTGAGTATTGGAAATAGTTTGATTAATTAGTCAGATCTTCCCTTGTATTTTACTTTTTCCTAACTCACCATAGTGTAAAATCAAAGTTCAAGGTTACGTCATCTTTCTAGAGGAGTAACATACATTTTGTATAACTCATTGAGTGTTAATTAGGGAGAAGGATGTATAAAACTAAACTTGTTACTGTTTCTACATTTTAATGATATGCAGAACGCATATAATTACATTAAAAATCGGATTCATGAGGCAGCCGTTTACTTTTTCGGGATGTTGTAAGTTTTCTCTGTGCTTCACACATATCTGTTTTTCTTCCTTATGGTCATTTGTAATTATTCATCTCCATACTTAGTTCAAAATAAATTAGTGTTGAAACTGCTTGTAGGTTGTCTTGTTGTTTCCTTATTAACGTACTTGAATAACTCTGCATCCAGCCCAAGAGTGAGAACCAAAAGCAATCACATTTATTTGATGATGTAATTTCTCATAATCCTGTATGATAGACAGCGCAGGGAATAGTTTTAATAGTTTTATTTACAGACCTAGCTACATTAGTTAATGTTTTATTATTTATTTTCAGTGTTATTGTCAACCTTTGTTTAGTTTTATTAGTATTTAAAATTTCATTAGTTTCAAAAGGTTGCCAGAATGGACACCTAGTCAATCAGTTTCACAAAATTATTCTAAACAGTGGCCTGTGCTTACAAGGTCAAAAAAATCTGAAAATCATGTTTATTATTCAGTTTTCAGTGATGAAGTATTATTGCATTTAGCAATTGTCATTGTCAATCTAAGAAGTGAAAAATCATATCAATCAATTATTTTCTTGTACTGTCTGGCAGGTGCTATAATGATGTTGAGCTTATCCTCTTAGAGAGCTAATTTTCTTTGTACCAAATTGATGATTTTGGTGATGATATTCTGAAATGTGATAGAGGATAGATCTATCGTGGAACTTGGTAGATGAAATAAAAGACAGCACGGGAAACAAAAAATATAGTATCTTAGCAGATTTCATGGTAAAAAAATACTTCTACTACCTCTTAGTAATGCTCTAGCAAAAGTCTGTTTAGTATGGTATAAAAACAAAACAGACTTTAGAGGTAACCTGAAAATTTATTTAACTTGCTATGGTGGCAAAGTCAAATGGAGCTTGACATCAGACACATTTTTAAAAAACTGAACTGGAAAAAGCTAAGAAAGTAACTGCCATCTTTAAAAGAATAATTATTTTATGTTCAATTAATTTTTTTTATCAAATCATATATTTTCTGTCATTAAGTAAATAATCGCTTATCTAAATTTTGTGTTAATTTTTCTGTTTTAAGTATAGAAGAAATTTAATAATTTTTAGATTTGAATATGATTTCCTGAGTTTTCTCTTTAAATACAGTACAGAACCCGTTATCCGGAAATCAGAAAACCGGAAAACCAAAAAACCGGAAAGAAATTTGATAAATTTTCCCGCAATTTTTAAAAAAAAAAAAAATTTTCCTCATAAGATTTTAGGATTTTTCGTTCTTTTTTGAAAGATGTTTACCTTACCATAATTTCAGAAATAATCATTAGTGTATTACTTCATCTTTTTTTCTTATTTTTAAGATTATTTCCAAATAATATTCTTTTTTAGTTGGGTTTAACACTAAAAAAACGGCTTTTTGTAGCGATTCAGAAAACCGGAAAAATCAGTTATCCGGAATAGCGATAGTCCCGATCGTTCCGGATAATCGGTTCTCTACTGTACCATAGTAAGCATTTTGACTACAATATTTACCACAAACTTTAAAAAAAAAACTATTTTATTCCAGCTTATTTATTATTTTTTTGCAATTTTCTTCGCTTTCAACTTTTACAGTTTTTGTATTTACTACTATTTGACTTCTTACTGCTATTACTCTTAGATTAGAATTTATAAAAGTTTTGATATAAAGAAGATAAAATTATATTGTTTTTTAGGTGATTTGTTTTGTAAGAATCAAAGGAGCATTTACCAACTGTGGACCAGTATCTGTGGCAATAAGATGTATTGCACATCTGATCATTTTAGCCTTGAAATGGAAAGTGTACTTAGAGCCAAAGCTGTCTTAGATAATTATATGGCATCAACTGGTTAGCATTGAATTTAAAATCTTTTTTTAACACAAATAATTATAAAAATTCTTCCCTTGCTTTATTTTTTAATTTTTCAGTGGCTCCAAGGTTAGTTTGTGATATTGTAGACTGTAATGAGTTTGATCCTGCATTACGTGTGACTGTACTTCATCTAAAGAACTTCTTTTGGGGTCACTTTACACCTGATGATCTTTTGGTGGAATACGTAGCTGATAGTAAGTTATTTATTATTCATTTATTTCAAAACTGAAGTGTATTCCTGATTATCCAGACTTATCACCTTAATATGTAGATAATTCTGGAACAATTATTTTACAGTAGAATAAATTATGTATGATAGAAATTTCTTTTATGTAATGTTATGAGCAAAGTTTTCCATTATGTTATACTGCTTTTGAAACTAATCTGAATCTTAAAGCAAATTAAAATTAGGATGAGAAATATTTTTTTAGCCCTCTGTTCTTCACTACTTCCTTATATACTATTACGTATTAGTAGCAGCTTTTACTAATATTTAAACTGCAAGCTTTTTAGTATGGAAATTAGTTTTCCTGATGTTTTAGAATTGGGAAAATAGTGTATAGCTGAGAATAGTGCATAGCAGTATTATTTTGCCCTAGTACTAAACACTTAAGGTCTAAATTACTAGGTAGTTACTAGAACATCCATGTACATGCTAAAACACAATGATTAGTCAGAAATGGGATATTGCAGAATTTTGCACGCAAAAAACATTGCAGAATTTTTTGACCCTCGTACTAAAAGTACTAAATCATGTAATATATAATAGCAAGTTATTATTTGTTAAATTCTTTTATTTTTGCTGCTAATCAAGAGAACAATATTATAAGACAAGACATCTGAATAACGTTACTGTGTCATTTATGTCAAATTAGTTTATTTACTGTTGTAAAATATGTATTTTAAGCATCTAGAAGTAATATATTACTTTGATTTTTAGAAACAGCATTTGTAGTTGCCCTCATTTTCCTGATAAAAATATTTTGTCCTGACTTTTACTTTTTGTGTATTTTTAGAACATTCTATTTTGTACTTCGAATCTTCAATCGAGATTTGAATCTTCAATCCATCTTTTAATTGAATTAATAATGTTGGTAAAAATTGCTTTATTCACTAATTCAAACTGAGGGACTTCCTACTGAATTTTTACTTGTTCAAACTAGGGGACTGTCTACTAAATTTTTACTTGGTTCTGGTATGTAGCCTTATCTCTAGGCTCCATTTTTAAAAAAATTTTGTGTGCCATTTTATTAAAAGCGAACTTAATTAATAATTTTTGTCAAATTGTTATTGTGATAAATTCATATATCACACCATTTATTATTTTCAGCATTAACAGTTACATCTTTTAAAGTGGAGTTTTTTGGTTTCTCAATTATTGATTCACCTCTTTTATCAGATTTTGAAAAAGATCAATTCCAATCAACAATACAGTAATATATAATATAATGGTATAATATTATATATAATAGTGAATTTAGTAATCATTTACAAAATTACTTTTGTACAAAAATGTTAAGTTGCAAATTTACTGTGTTTTTTTTTTCTAAGATTAATACACTACTTTAAAATTATTTTATTAAGTCTTGAACTCTATTATAAATTTTAATTAAATGTTGCTAAGAGGGATTATTAGCTAATTGATGCTGGTCATTTTCTTTAATGCACAATAAACAATTTTCCATCTATTCATCTTTAACTATTCTATGTTGTTAAAAGCTTTGTTAAAAAAATTTAGCTGACAACTGTTAAGACTTTCTGATTTAAACTAATTAATTATAAAACTAAAAACAGTATAAAACTGAAAAAAGTAAAATTAAAACAGTAAAACTGAAAAGTATTAACAGTTTTTTATGATGAAATGTGTTCCTGTATACCTTTTTTATTTTGTCATTTGCCCTTTTTTAAAGTAACTTGGTTTGGTATATGTTTTAGTGTTCCAAAAAATGTTCTGTCTTTTTTCAAAAATGTTGTTCTGTTTTTTTTTTTTTTTTTTTCCCTCTGAGACGCTTATTTAATTTTTATTTTTTTGTTGTATGCCTGTTTAGGCAGTGGGGGTGCGATTGTTCCTGTTTTTCAGTGGCGCCATCTATGGCCAAGAATTTGACTTCTGCCACGCCATTCACACAATCACAACCCGTTTAAATGGCGGGTCAGATTCACATACGAAGGAGAAATGCCATAGAACACACAGAGAGAGAAAGAAACATCCATGCCTTGCCCGGGATTCGAACCCAGGACCTTTCTGTTGCAAGGATAGTTCCCGGCCCCCTACACAGGCCTGTCGGCGAGAGGCTTATTTAAAACCACTAAAATAAAATATTGAAAGAGGAAATGAATTTCCAGATTTCTTTAAAAAATTCCTATATATTTTATTTGGTTAGTTCACAAGTCTATCTTGATACTATGATATGGCAAGTCTATCTTGATGCTATCTTGTTACTTTGATTTTTATTATATTTAAAAAGCATAACCTTAATGGTGCCTACAAATTTATTACATTTTTAGGTCTTGCCACTGAAGATTTGAAATGTCAAGATGTACAAAAAGCTTTTTGTGCTGTTTCAGTACTGTCTAAAATCATTCCTTCAACTCATGCTCTATTTCAAATAGGTTGTTTTCTTATAAACTCTAGTGTAGATCTTAGAAATATTGCTGGTAAGTGTAAATTTGCTTCGAACTTTCTTTTAATTTACTTTAGCTTCTACATGAGAATTATAATTTTTAAAAATAGTGAGTTTAGTGGAAAAAATACTGTGGTTAGTGAGTGTAGACTAAAATTTCCATCACTTAAAGCATATATTTATATTTCTTTTCTCTCTTAGCGTGTTGCATACTTTGTTTTAACTTACTTCAAATTTCTGCAACAGACATAAATTATGTTTACCTTTTTTTCATGTTAATATTTTACTCTTATTAAAACTAAATTCAAAACTACTCTTCTCCCCACTACATCAGAGCTCTTTCAAGAACTAAAAATGAGAACTGCTCACATTATCCTCAATTTAAAGTTTTTTTACTTAAATACCATCATTGTCACAAGATTGTCCAGTCATCTGACCACTTTATCTTTCTGATTCCTGTTACTGCCTATTACCCGCAAATGTTCTTTGAATGTAAGATTTCTTTTGATTTCATCGTTATCTGCTTTTTTCCAAATATATTGTTTTTCACCCATCTGTACGAGCATTCATCAAAAGAAAGGTATAAGCATTTTAACTTACAGAGCTTCAGATGTCTGATACAAAACAAAACTTGGTTAGTTATTTAAGATAAGAAAATTTTTGAAATTAACATTTTAATTGCAATCAAGTAACATTTTTCTTACAGTTCTTAGCATGGCATGGTTTGCTATTCTTGTCTACTTATTGTTCCAGAGGTGAACAAAAAGTTAATTAAATTGTTAAGAATAAAATAGCTGAAAGGGCAGTGTAAAGTAAAATAAATTTTTACATTTATATTTAAAATAACTGAAAATATCTCTTCTATATTTCTGTGACAAAAAGTATGTTGTCATTTGGCATTGGTCCTGTATGCTTAGATATGAAGTGTGCGCATTCTTTATGCTTCGAAAATTATTCTTCCGCTTCAACACTGTTTATAGGTTCTGGCAAACGTTGAGTTTGTGATCAAGTTTTTTTCTTAGATTCCCTAAACTGGATTATATTTCTCCCTCAAAGTGTAATTCATTGACAGTTGCTTGCTTTGTATGCATTGAATCCATTCATCTTCAACTATCAATATACTCTTAAAAATGGTACTTTGCTATTGATCTATTCTGTAAAATGATTAATCAGTTGTACATTATCACTTTTAAAATTTCAGAAATGTGCTGATTGCCTTTGAAATAAAAAAAATTAAATATTTAACTATTGTAGTGCAAATTTTAGTGGTTTATAGAAACAAAACTTTATAAAAATTTATGTTGTAACAAATTTGAAACCTTGGTGTAAATGTAAGTTTCAATAAAAGGAACTTAAAATTTTAGAACAATCTTATATCATAATCTGTATGTTTTAGTTCAGTATCTGCTTTGATTATTTTTAAAACAACATTAGATTTAATGTTCTAAGTCATAAAATCTTTCAGGAAATGCAAAACAAATTTTATATTTTCTTATCCAAAGAAAGTTTTACTCTCTTGAATATTATTTACAATGCCTCATGGCAAGAAATCTGTTAAGTTATGTAGTACAGATGTAGTTTATTGTAATCAATATGAATTATCTTGTGCATGATAGATAATTATAAAATTTACACTTTCTTTTCTTTACCTTTTACTTTTGGGCCTTGCATTTTGTTTTTCTCCATGTTTTATTTTGTAAATGTATTTTCCAATCTCCTCTATAGTGATATGGGACTCTTTAAAAACTTTTTCCACTCATACTTAATTCTTCAATGGTTGAGAATCGGTTGTAAAAACTTGAAGCTCCTGTGTTGAAATATTTTTTCCTAACTCCTTTTCAATACAAGCCAATATACAAAATATTTATTTGTTTTGCTATGCTTCAGTATGTTAAAATTTTTTAGAAACAAATTCTCTCATTATAATTATTATTTTGATAGAAAAAGAGACGTATAGACTATTTCTCGTTTTTTTTTTTTGTCAAAAAAATATACCATGTTATACTGTTCTACTACAGTAAAATTAGTATGAACACTTTTGTTATTATGAGGCAAGAATTTGTACCTGTACCAAATTGGCAAAAATGATTATCACACAAAATTTAATAAATGTTGCAACTCGTCTGCGTTTCTCTCCCTTACATTGTAATGTCATTTTTCTGTCTTGGTAAGCCTTGTATCTAATCATACTAAAATTTGATAATGTACTTAGAAAGAAGGCAGTTACTGTCTTCCATGTTACACCATTAGAAGATTGATTTATGACCGTCATTGTTTATCTGCACTTTTTATTGTCCCCACATTATTAAGTCATTTCCCTCGCTTCTAACTGAACCTCATGTTCAAATCCATCTTAGATTTGAGAGCATGATGAAGAAAACTGATATAGCACACTGAGTTTATTGTTAATTTTAGAATTTTGATACAAATAATAATGCTTTTAGTTTTAAGGCATTGTAACAACACAATTTCACTCTTTGAGTTCGTCATGTTCTATGATTATTTTTTAAAATTTATTTTACATCATATATATTTCGTTTTTGGTAGTTCCTCATTTGTTACATGACATCTAGTTCTTTTAATGCAGATAAGTTTTAAAATATTCATGGCACTATGCTTTGAGAAGGATTTTAATTTTACAATTAGGGTTTCTTACCTTTTGTAATGGTATTTTTAAATTCTTGCTTATCGCTGCTTGGTTTTTTTTTATTGGGATCAGTAGCAGAAAAAAATTGTGGTGCTTTGCCAAGAATTTGTATATGTTTGCTTGGAAGTTCTACATAAAAGTATTGAAATGCTAAGTCAAATTCTCTGAAGATTAATAAGCTGAAAATATTTTAGAAATCCTTATTTCTGCTTATGATGTTATAAGTTATCAATTCATTGTAACTTATTAATTATTATAAGATATTAAGTAATTATTATAAGATATTAATTATAAGTTATTTTAATTTTTTTCAGCTTCCTACTTAAGAGCGGTATCTACCAATGAAGAGTGGAAGGAAAAAGTAATTTTTGAATTATAAAATTCATTACAAATTTATTTCTTAATAAATTACAGTCGGACTTCTACTTAACAAACCTCCATTTTGTGAATTTTTCTTTTTTTCAATTTTTTCCTAGGTACCAAGAACATTTTTGAAATTTTTTTGTAAAATAACTTCCAAAGAGCGAAGTGAATTTTTTTTAACAAACTTTTCTTTGAGATTCTCTTTCTCTATTTTCCAAAATATTTCAAACTTGTTAATGCATTTTGTGGGGGAAATGACCTTGAATTGATTTCTGCAGCCACTTTTAAAAAAGTAGTAAAATCTCTTTCCCTTTTTGTTTGTATTTCATATAGGAATTCATGCCAAAAATCAATTTAAGGGAAAGCATAACAAAAATTTCTAAAGCATGGAACTATGATGTTAAAGATCATACTATTCTTGACAGTTTTGCTATAGCTAGATTCTTCGTCAGCACAGTGAATTTGCAAAGTTCGGACGGCAAGGATGATATTTCTTCAGAAAAACTTTTAAAAATATGGGTTTAGTTAATAGAGAACACGAAATTAACAATGATGTACAGATTTAAGACTTTTTTTATTGATTTTTAAGCTGCTGCCACAGACTGGTATTTTGGTACTGGATCAACTGAATCTGGTATTTTGGACAGTGTGAAAAATAAAAACAATGCAGCAATGAATTGTAAGCAACACAAAGATTAAGACAGAAATTATGAAGAAATAACCAAACCTTCATATGATAAAAAGTTGAAATCATTTAAACAATTTGATAATAGATAATAATTTACAAGCTAAAGGTGTGTCAATTGCTGTCTAGTGTTTATGAATTAAAGATCTGTTTTGTGTAAAAAAAGCATTTCAAATTGTGATTTTTCTATTTCACGAATTTTTCATATAAGGAATTTTTTATTGGGATTTAGCTTCTTTCTTTAAATAGAGGTCCGACTATATTTGTAAATATAATGTGTTTTACCCTAGATAAATAAATTGTTACTCTGTAACTAATCATATGATTCAAAGACTGAATTAAACATCTTTGTTTTTAAATTTCCATATTGTTGTCAAATAGAATAATACAGAAGAAAAATACTCTTAATTTTCATTAAAATATGGATAAGTGATTGAATTAAACATCTTTGTTTTTAAATTTCCATATTGTTGTCAAATAGAATAATGCAGAAGAAAAATACTCTTAATTTTCATTAAAATATGAATAAGTGATGAAATGTAAATTTAAAACTTTGAAGATGTTAAAGTATTGTTTTAGCCCCAGTAAAAAAAACTAAACTAAAAATTTTCTTTAGCCTTTTTGGCAAATGTTTAGTTATCTGGGGCTAGAAAATTAAGTACAACTTAGCCAATCTGTCATCTTATCAATTTACGAAGTTTTATTTCTAAGAAAATCTGGTAAACACGTAAGACTTACAAAGCCTACCTATAAATGTCAAAACTAGAATTTTTTCATTTTTTTTAGTTGTTTAGAATTATTAGAATCAAATATTTTCTTCTTTTTGAAATTCTAAGTTAAAAAAAAAAATCTTTTTCTAACTTGTTAAAATTTCATAAATTTTTTCCCACTGTTAACAACATGTTGTATTTCAGGGGAAAATTTTTATTTTTTCCAGAAATGAAATTTGAGAAATGATTGCAAAAAAAGTTAATTAAAGTTAGTTAGCTGAATCATTGATATGATGTCGTAGTCATCAATGCATTTTCTCTTTCTGAAATAGACTGATAGAAATATATTTTTCATCACTTTTTATTTATTTGAAGTAAATGAGTCTCGCTCATCATTTGCCATTAGATTAGTCAGGGTGGTTGACTCTTAGCTTCGCATTAAATCTAAGAGCAATCTGCCCAGAGCATTAGTAGAATTCTAAATGCTGATTTTCTGCAACTATACATCAAGATCACAGCACAATGCTGAAATGGAGAAAAATGTGACTCATGTGTAAGGAACATGTTTGAATGAGGTGAATAGGGCATGTAGGAGGTGGTGAAAAAATTGTGTAGATGGTTCTACTTCAGGTTTATTATCATCAAAAAATATTTTTTGAAAAGAAAAATGACTTTAAGGGGGTGACCTTAAAAGAGAAAAACCTTGTAACTAATAGTTATTTAACTGTTTTGACAATTGTTTATAATTTGCTTTTGTCTTTATATTAGGTTATCTTTTCTTATTTAAAAATGATGCAGCAAGATAATGCAAAACATAGACTTATCTCATGTAAAGCATTAGAAGTACTCGAGGTAAATATTATGGCATAACTATCACTTACATTGTATTTCCTGTCAGTTCGCACTGTATGCTTACTTTGTCGTAAAATAATATACATCTTAAGTAAAAAAATAGATGGAAAGCATTAATAAAGTGATGTACCACTAGTTTTAAATAATGGTCCATAAAACATAAAAAAATACTTAGTTAATCAACATCAGCGAAGTTTTAAACCTAAAAATGCAAGGTGTGTATATCTTTAATAAAATATGAAAGTAAAATGATTTATGCTTAGCTAAAATTTTCATTTAGCTGCTTTAAACAAATAAGTAAAAATTTTCATGGAAATCTACACCTATATCATTAATATGTAGGAAGTTATGACATATTGCTAGGTATAGAAAAAAAGGAAAATTAGTTTGTTTTGAGATTGTAATCTGGTAGCAAATAATTTTTCTTGCAACCTATGAGCAGTTGATGGTCTTTGCTTTGTTTCAGAAATTTCCTCAATATGATTTTCATTGTTTATACTAACAAAGCTAATGTACTTCATTGAGAATTACAATTTATAGAATTGTATTACCTAGTTCTACTGCATATGAAGTCAAAAATAACAAACATGTGAATAAGTTTTTAATTTAATATCGGAAAATTATAGCTTCATTGATATTTTGTTTAGTTAAAGTTTTATAAAACTAATTTATAAACAACTCTGTTGGGTTTAATTGAAGCGAAATATGCTGAGTGCTAAAATCAAAATAGAGCACATTCCAGTGGAAATAGACAAATTCTTATTTAATATTGAATAAAAGTTTCAGAATATCATGTCAGAAATATGCATGGAATTTCTGTGCAAATGCATTTTGAAAATCTTTTAAAAGATTCTTGAATGCAAAAATGTGTTATCTCGATGTTAATATACTGAATAATTTCAATATATCTTAAAAAGTTTGCGGATTAATTGATGGAAAATGGAGAAGACTCACTGATATTGTATGAGAGCACACAATTAACGGCATCAAAATTTTTTTAAATGTCCAATAAATTATCAAAATGGATGCCTAAACATTATCACCTAATCTTTAAATAAAAGAAAGTGTTTTTTATTGCTTAAATTTAGCTAGTGTCGCGGCAAAATTATGATTACAAATCCACTTATCATGCTTCAGATATCTTAAGAAAAACTATAATTATTAATTGTAAGTCAAAATGCATTTTTTTTAGTCAGAACTGGGAAAATGGTAATGAATAACTGTTACAAACTCACAACAATTATGATAATAGCATATTACTTGCTAAAAAGTGTTGTTTTATGTCTTATCAGGTTCTTCCAAAAACAGCTATAACATTGTAGTTAAAGGTTCTAAAGGACAAAAATATCAAAAAAGGATACTAAGGCAACCAATTTTTTTATAAACTATTTGATTAAAATAGTTTATAAAAAAATTGGTTGGCATTTTGATATCATTCAGCATTAAATACATTCTTCAAATATTCACACCACACAAATGAGAGAACATTTTTTTATCTCCTAACACACATTTGGCAAAACCTCAATAGTTAGATAGATTGTAATTAATGTCTGAGATCCATAAACCAATAAAAAAAAAATTTTGAACTGTCATTTATAATTGAATAAAATCTAGAATCAGAAGAAGTATTAATTATATATGGTTGTATTTGGTATTTTATAGTAATAAGGTCATAATTTCAAATATTCAATATTTATTAATTTAAATATTTATTAATTGAATATTTAACAGTCCTTAATCACACACTACACCATAAGAGAACTTTTTGTCACTGGAAATTTAAATCTCATCTTTCAAAAACCCTCCATAGGTTAATGTTTAATTCATGCCTAACGAAAATCCATTAAAATCTCATTTATCAAAACCATAAAGAAAATTTAGGTTCATGCATTTTGAATCTGTCTTTCATAAATAAATGAACCTTGGAATCAGAAGCGCAATATTTTACAGTTTCACAATTTTTTTAAATTTTTTGAATTTAAAGCCAAGAATTAAATTAATTTTTTTTTATGAATTGACTTGGCATGTTTTGGAATTAACTGCTGTAAATGTTAAAATTATGGACCAATAGAACACTTTATAGACATATGTATCTTAAAATTACTATAAAAGATATACAAATAGAAAAATATATAAAATCATAATTGCTGTGTAAGTATTTAATAATGTTTTACAGTTTGAATTGACTTTCGAAATATATAGACATTGATTGACATGGTAATTGCACTTATGTAAAAATTGAGCATCATGACACTAAACTTTTTACACCAAATTTCTAATTTTGTTTTTACGAAATATTATTATCTTTTGAAGAAAAATTCCATTCTTTTAAGAGATTTATCAGATATCTCAGCCCTGAGATTAGATTGAAAAATTTTTGCATATTAACATTAGTGAGTTCTACGTCATACTTATGATACTTTTATAGCTAAATTCTTATGTTCAACATTTATAATAAGCATAAGAGAACAAGATAAAAATAATTTTTTAAAAAAAATTTAAATTTCCTTATATTTTTCAATTTTTGTACTCAAATATTTATTTATTTATGTTAATTATTATTTGGTTATATTGGATTGAAATTATGGTTACAATAAATCTTAATATATTCTTTTATACAATTTTTTTTTGTGTATTTTCCATTACGTAGGTCAAGAATAACATAGGTGTTGAGCAGCTATCTTTTCTGATGAATAATGATGAAGATTCTGATGTTCGCAATGCAGCTTATGCTGCTTTACTCAGCTTAGGTTAGTGTCACTTGTTTTAAAAATTATAGTTGTACTATTAAAATTTTTCAACTCTGTGATATTATTTAAATATTTATTAAACTTTTAAAGAAATGAATGTCAATTTTTTTCTGTATATAATTTTTTATTTACTAGACAGCATGAAAATAGTTAAACCCTGAAATGAGTTCAAGGTTCAAAGTTAATGTAATTATATCAAATTACCTGCATTTATCAGAAATCATAGAGTTCATTGTCTTATCAAAGTTCTTTATTATTTATCTTAGGAATTATGAATTTTTCCAATGATACACATAATATATTAACATCTAAAAAGAAAGGATAGAAATGCTGAAATCAAATACTCAGAACAAATGCAAAGTCACTACTATAAAAAATAAATACTTCCCTAATAGCTATTATAATATTGGTTATAGTCCATCAAAACTTAATGGGATTTTTATTTTGTTAAGAATTAGTCTATAGCTTTATTTTTCTATTTACAGAATTGGGTGCTGCATAAAATTAAACTTTAAATGTTAGTCATGTCTAAAAATTTTCTTTAATTTTAAAATGTATTATATCTGATTAAAACATAATTTTACTCATTATTTGTATACTGTTATCTAAAGATTGCAGTAATTGATTGTCAATTTCTGAATATCTTATGTGTGCTTTCTTAGTTTTTGGCTATAGTCATTGTTCGATTTCATAAAATTCTTATTTCAAAAGTATTTGTACCTGTAGTTTTGATGCTGCATTATGTACCCTCTCATATGCATTGTAAATACAGTATATATAGAATCCCAAAACTTGTCTTTTTTTCCTAAAAAGTATTGATTGAATGACTGGTCTCCAAAATTTACACGTAATTTATTACATAAGTACTAATCATTGCAAGTAGTGATTAAAAACGTAAGTTGCAGGGATGAGATTCTTCCGCGGATTCGCGGATTTCCGCTTTTTTTCAGATTTTTCCATTTTTCCCGCTAATTTCCGCTGAAATTTTTTTTGCCCAAGTTAAAATGTTTTATGAGGAATTTAATTTTCCGCGGAGGGAAATTGTTGAAGTCCCTTTTCCTCCCTCTGAAGTTTCTCTAAAAATCATTTCCTTGGGATAAAACTGGTTGACCTTTATACAGGGATGAGATTTTTTTTGTCTCTCGAATTTCAGCCTTTTTATCAAAAACTCCGATTCTCTAAAAGTTTCGTTTTTTTAAATAAATATCCCGTTTTTTTTAAATTCAGTCATTGAAGTAAAATAATTATATTTATTTACGATTTTCAAAGATAAACAGAAAATTCAATCTACGCCCTAGCTGCTAACCCTTCCGCATTTTTACTTATTTTAGCTATTTTCTCCGATTTCACGCACAGAAAATAAGATTTTCCGTATTTTTTATCCGTCGGCTGGATAGCTCGTATTTTCGTAATTCAGATCTCGATTTTTATTCACGCGATTTTAATATCAATCATCGATTTTCGTATTTACCTGATTTAAAAGTTGCACATTGCGATTCTTATTTACGCTATTTAAATATCGTATATTATGATTCTTATTTACGACATTTAAAAATCCAATATCGTGTTTTGTATTTATGCATTTTTAAAATCTCGATTTTATTATCAAATCTCGATTTTTGTATTTACATGATTTAAAAGTTGAACGTTGCGATTCTTATTCAGGCGATTTAAATATTGTGCAGTGCGACTCTTACTTACGAGATTTAAAAAATCAATATCGCGATTTGTACTTACGAGCTTTTAAAGACCTATGTAGCAATTCGTATTCACGTGAGCTTAAAATCCAATATCATGATTCGTTTTTGTGGTTGTAATATCGCGCGATTTAAAAATTATGCATCGTGATCAAAAAATTAAAAAATCATGATTTGTATTTTCGCATTTTTTAAATTCGATGTAGAGTTTCATATTTACGTGATTTAAAAGTCTCATATCGGGATTTATATTCACATGGTTTACAAGTTTAAAAATCGCACTTTTTNTTTTTTTTTTTTTTTTTTTTTTTTTTTTTTTTTTTTTTTTTTTTTTTTTTTTTTTTTTTTTTTTTTTGGATTTCCTCTTTTTTACTTTCTGACTACTCTCATCCCTGAAGTTGGGACAAAAGTACTTGTGTAAATATATAAGTTAAAATATAAAAGAATCATAATCATGCATTAAATATTCAGCTATTTATCTGAGTGTTTTTATAGGTTTACAAAACAACATAATTAATTGACAAAAAGATTATAAGCGTTTAAATTAAGAAATAAAGCATACACAATCAAACAATAAAGCTTTTATTGTATGATTATCACGTATTTATTTCTTATTAAAATCTAAGTATTTTTCTTTTCTTTTAAGAAATGAAACCAAATATTAGTTAGAAACCTATTTAAATTGTTTAATCTTAAATTTAAAGTACTAATGGTTTAATGAGTTGATCAAATTCCAGCTTATACACTCACTTAGGTTGACCACACATGAACAATCAGTACGGGTTGAAAACGAACATCAGCCCCAATGAAATGTGATGGTAGAAAGGCCAGTTTTAATTTTTTGCAATGCTCGTGTTAGTTTTGTGATGGATAATATTGTTTTCCTTTTGAAGTTAAGTTAACGTGATGTAATATTGCGATATACATCTTCAATCAAATTATAATGTCTAAAGTTCATATCCAGATTTTTTTAGAATTATATTCTTGAAGCTTTTTCTCTATTACAAAATCGAAAAAAGGGCAATATTTTGCTCTGTTTGCTAATTGGATTCGAAGATTACTTATAGTGTTAAGAAAATGCATTGCAAAACTTTTAGGCATAAAGAGGCAGGAAGAGTTTTCAAAGTGTACAAATTGAAATATTTCTGAAGGTTTTGATACTTGTGATTATGATGTCATAAGACGTAAACTCTACTTTACACCATTCATTATCGAACTTAATCTGCTTTTAAGTGTTGTTGACCATGAGGAGCCAATATTCAGTATGTTGTTTCCAACTGTGATGTGGCAATAAAATATGGATTCGGAAGACCTAAAACTAAAGCTAATTTTTCTAAAATGCTAATTGCTATTGTTTCAAGAACACGATTTAAATGCTCATTATCCAATTAATCATTAGGAGATATTTTAATTGCAAGGAATATACAATGTGGGAGCTGTTTTGATCAAACTTTTCCTAAAAACTTAAAGGTAGCCAAATCAGCCATTTATGAATACTTAAACCAATATATGCTTCTTATTAATTTTACTTATAGTCTATCACGTGTATATATTTTATGTGCGTTTTTGTGTGCCAGTAATAATATGAAGAAAGATTTTTAAAGCTGATAACTGTTTTATTTTTGTGAAGGTTTTATCAATTCTGTGAAAAACATTAGAAATTATTTTATTTTGTAAGGCTTTGAAGAGAATCAAAGTTTAAGATCAAAATTGTAAGCTCAAACAGATAACAATGTGGCAGGTCTGCATTTTTGCTCATAGATAAATAAATATTTGTGTTAAGAGTTACTGCAAATAAATATTTAATTAGATAATTAATAAACCTATAAAATAAATTTTTCTTCATTTCCTTGTAATCCATGACAGTATCTATTTATACTTTCATTAACCATTTCACCAAACCAATCTTTTTTATTATTGTGAATACTTTAAACAAACAAAAGTAATTTTTTTTTCTTTTCTTCTTTTGTTTAGTAGATTTATTATCTTGTTTTGATCTCCAAAATGATCTATATTCTCCTTTATTAACAAATGTAATTCGCCTTCAAAATAAAAGTTGTCTGCATTAATTTGTAAATTTATTGCTGAATGAAAGTTTATTTTATTATTGTTATTTTTTAGGAAAAGTGAAGTAATTTAGTAAAGACTCGTGATTTGTGACATTACATGCTTAATAAAGAGTTAATGTCTGAAGCTTATTCAATAAGAAACATTCCCAAGCCTACAAGTGATTAAAGTTTGAAAAACTAGCTTATAGTAAAAAATCAGTTTTTGCAGCAGAAGGGAGCTTACATTTTTGTATATCAGTGAAATCATATTTTTTTTCATGCCAAAGATACTAATATTTTAAAGTCATTTTTGTATTTTTAATAAGTGTTTTATGCTTTTGTTGCAGCTACTTAATATTGAATTTAGGTTTGCTGTTATTTGTGTTTTGTCATTCATTTTGTAAACTTATTTACTTATTGCAATTCATTTGAGAGAAATTTGAAATATAGTCATGCTTGCAAAAATTTAATTTGATCCTCTAGTCATGTTTAGGACACTCAGAGAATTTTTTCCTACACTGTCACTAAATTTTAATGTTTGCATTGTATTCAGACGTATGTTTGTGTTTTAGTATTAAATATTTTATTTAGCATTTGGTAGCTTTTGTACTTCTATGTTAATATTATTTTAACAAAATGAGATTTGAAATATATTTTTTCAAATAGGTTTCTAATTATGAAATAATTAATTAGATCTGCAAATAAAGGGCAATTTAATAATACACTTTGCAACTGTGATACATGGCCATTTTTTTAAAGAAAATTTGCAAGAAATATTAAATTTTTTGGAATTTGTAATATAGTTATATATTTACATATAAATTTTACAGCAGTCTTTTGAGTTGAAATTGTTTATTTGCATATTGTTGGTACTAGCTTTGTAGGTTGTAGTAATGTTTTGTTTTTGCATAGTTTTATTTATTCTTTAAATTTCTTTTTTACTTCATTTTATCTTCAATATTTTTTTTTACAGTTGGTCATAAATTCTTTGTTAAAAAACATTCGTAGAAAGTACTCTTAAATGTTTTTTTTTTAGTTTTTCATCAATTATTCAGTTTTTCATTTATAATATTACAATAAAAATTATCATTGAAATGTATAGCTCAAAACTTTTTTTTTGAAAAAGAAAAACAATAGTATTCGCTGATTACTTCATGTTTACTGTTTATTTTTGCTCACTTATTGTACTATATCTTGTTTCAATTATATTTTATCAATGCAATAACATTATACAGAATATAACTTACTATAATATAATACTTTTAAAATGTCCTTAATTTTTTTGTTTAGTTGCTATGATTCCAATCCGTCCTATTGATGTTTCATTTATTTATATTGTCTTTATTTATTAAGTTGACAATGACATTTAATCTGTTTTTATGATAAATCTCTGGATGCATATTAAAATTGGCTATTTAATTACACTATATTATTGCTTATGTGAATAAGCCTGCATTGTTTTATTATATATTTGGCTTCAATTTTCTGCATGATTATATATTTTTTTCCTGTTTTTTTGCGCAGTCAACATATTGCATCAAAATTCAATATTTCTTGCAAAAATCTAGCAGTAGGTGTGAGCAATATTTTTTTTGAAGAAAAAGACAAACTTTAATATATTTTTTCGATGTATTATAAAATATATCTATATTCTCTTAAATTAGTTTAAAAATTTATTGCATTTTTATTTTCTCATTAACTGTTTATTACTTACTTCATTAACTGTTTATTACATACTTCTTTTAACAAAATTAATTTAACATCCTAATTTTATTTTCTCAATTGTTTATTCCATTGAGAGCATAGGACTATGCCATGACCTATAGTCTCACTATTGATTCATATTTTTCATACATAATGATTAATATTTTATAAAAAATTTTAAACCTTTATCCAATTTTAATCGTTCATTTTTCATGTTTAAAAAATTCATGATTGAGAAAAGACATATTTCCCTGCATCTGAAATTGCTTATTTAAATTATCTCTGTTTGACAATTATGTGAAATTAATTTCCACTAAAATAACGTAATTTGAAGATAAAGTAAAAATTAATAAAAAAGATTAAAAGTTATTACTTAACCATTAAACCAAGACTAAAAATTGCAGGGCATAGGTGTCAGTTGACTTTGTCTCTAAGCTAAAACAAAATATCAAAATTTTGATGAATGTTGGTAAAAGTGATATAATTTTGTGTAAAACATTGTTTGTTCAAGCATGGATGCCGTATTAAGTTATGTCTACTTTTATGTGTTTGTTACTATTTTAATCAAATTACTAAAGACTCAATTTTTTTTCTTTAAACTCTATGGCTTTTCAGATGCTTATAATAATCATATTTTGCATACCATTACTAAATGAACAAACTTGAACTGTGAAAACTTATCTTAGTCTGTAAAAATTAAATTTATAATAATTCGATTGTTACTTAATCAGAATTTTTTCCCCTTCAAACAACATATTTTTGTTATTCATAGTCTGCTTTGATAGTCAACTTATCATAAAGTTATGATTTATTTAAGGCATTATTCAGTCCTAGGTTTTTAATTTGTTCTTCATAATTATTTGATTAAAATTAACTGTACTTTTCTAGAATGTACAAAAAATTAAATTAATATTTAGTTTTCTTAATGGTTTAACTTATTCTCGCTTAGCTTGAAAATTGTTGTCTGCTTATAATAATATGCATGAAATTTAAAATGTGTGTTAGAATTTAGTTGTATGTTAGACATTTTGTTCTCTTTTTAAGTTGCATTAATTCTAGGGGTAATAAGTAGCTTGCATGACTTATATGTGACTTTTATTCAGCCTTTTTATTTTGTTTCTTATTTTGGCACTATTAAATTGCACTTTCACATTCTTAATAGTTCTCCCTACTTTAAGTATTCATAATGCCTTTGAAATTTGTTGTCAGAGGGTAATATGTAATTTTGTAAATATGCTAAAATTTTGTTACATTTAGTGTTTATATTTTTGTATATTTAGTGTATTAATTTGTTATGTTTAGTGTGTTTCATTATGGTCACTTTTAGCTCTATTTTTGTGTTACTTGAAAATGATGTTTTCATTTTGTTTAAACTTATTATTTTTGTATTTCTGTGCTATCTTCTTTCTGTTTAAAACAGTGGACATTTTTTATTTATGATCAATGCTGGCGGAGATGTTATTATATTCGAGGCAATACTGAAACTGGCCCTCTTAACAAAATTTTCAATGGAAGAAGTCTGTGTTAAAAAGAATTAACTTGCATTTTTAGTCATCAAAAAAGTTTGTCTAAAAATAAATATATACAAATATAAATACTGATGCATCCCATATCCAAAAATAGCTGGGGACTTGGCAAATCTGGAAAATATTTTTTCCCCAGATAATAGATTTTAAGTCCAAACATGCATTATTGCATAAAAAATATAGATGATAATTAACATTAATTTCATGCAACATTTTCTTGACGAGTGGAATGACGTATAAATAAAGGAATGTTAAATATGATAAAATATGCAAAAAAAATATGAGAACTTGTTTTTTCTTCTTTTTTTTCCAATTTCATGTGAAGAATTAGCTGTGCAGATAACCATATAAATCAACTTAAAAAGAGCCTCAAATTCTAAAAGTAAATTTATCTGATTTATTAATAAAAAAATACTGTAAAACAAAGAAGATACTTAAGTTTGGGTGCGTAGCATTTTTAAAAAGGGCTTAAAGGTGCTTATTTTCAATTTTTAAAAGCCCTTAAAGGTTCCTTTTTTTTTTAATTAGGTGTTTTTAAAAATAACTTAATTTATCCTTGTCCGAAATTAGATATATTTTATTTTTGCCACGAATTATGTAAAAGCATGGTTTTCACATTGTTCTATTTAACGTTTTCACTATCCATTCAACCACAATCCATTTCGGCATACCGTAGGTCCGTATCGTATGAAAGCACGGATTATTTTACATGTTTGATGAAATACTTGCGAGTCTGCATGTGCTTAGATATCTGTATTCAATAGGAAGGATTCTTGCACTCTCATATCCAACTCTGCTGCATTTTTCAAAATATTCTCAATTTCAGACAACATTTTTCGCCTTCTGAAATAGAACCGAAAATCTCGTATTTTCGATGATCACGGGGACCAACTGAACATTGTGAAATTTTAATAGCAAAAGGAAAACTTTCTTTCTGTTGTTAAATTCATCGATGTTACATCATTATCTTCGTCAATGCAAGCTAATAGCCTTCTTATGCTATTCTGTTTAGACATCAGTATCATAACCTTTGAATTGGATATTCACTAAATACATATTTTCATGTAGGCCCTCAGAGAAGTCAAGAATCACAAAGCTTCATCACCACAAAATTTCCACCTCCTTTTTATTCATTTAATTTAATAAAGATAAGAATTAATTGAGATTTTTAAAGCAAAATTTTTACCTTTGATACCATCCATTAATAGCCTAATTTTTTTCACCTTTTATTGAACTTAATTACTTTTTTTTACAATTATGTTTTTTACTTATTACTTTGTATTATTGCTTTTAAAATTTTCAGTGCTCTTAATTTGCTTCAGGAAAAAACTTAATAATTTTTAGAGGCAAGATTTTAAACAAAGTATGAAGTGAAGGGCTTTCAATATTTTAAATGCAACTAAAGATCTTATGTTATTCAGATTTTGCATTCCAAAATACTTTATTTCATTTCTTGATTTTTTGATTTAAGAACAATTGAATTAAAATAGTTAATTATTATGAGATCAGATTTGTTAAATATTATGAGATCAGAGACCATATAATATACTTCTGACAAAAATGTTTTGCTTCAATACTCATTGTATTTACATTTCAAAATTATTTTAAAATTTTTTTTAATCATTTCATTAAATAAATACTGCAGCAAGTAGAGAATTTTAATAAAAATTTATTAGGGGCCATTCACTAACTTATATTAGTATTATAAATTTATTAAAGTTTTCTTAATTTGCTCAATTCTTAAATTTTTTTTTTATCAATTCAGTATGATCAATAATATTAATCTCATTAATTATTTATTGAATATGCTATTATAATAACTTTTTATTTAAATAAAAAAATAACTCGATAACCTTCTTAAACTATTGTTAAATTCATTAGAATTTAGAATTAAAACTTTTTATAGAATTAAATGAAGTAATTATTAATTTAAAAAAATAGTCTAAGCCACTTAATATTGAATATAATTTAAAATTGTGTATAAATTGTATGGTGGCTAATATTCTCAAGAAAAGAGTTCTTTGTCAGAAACTAGTTATTTTATCATGATCATTTAAAGTCTGAAAATTGTAGTGCATTTTGTTAATGTATGAAGAACTGTCATCAATAGGAAGAAAAAATTTTATTAGTGTGCATATCATATTTTTTAAAGTACCTAAAAGGTGCTTATTTTTTGTTGAAAAATTTGGCTACGCACCCTACAAGTAGATTCTTTAATGAAAATGTTAATAATTTAAAGGCTAACAAAGCTTGTCTGATAATGTTCATTTCAGACTCTTTTGAATTTCAGCTTCATTAATATTCATTGTTTTTTCTTATCACGTTTTTTTTTCTTCCCTTTAACTGCTCTTGTCTTTCTAACAACTCTTTTAATGTGCTTATTGAGGCAATATAAATGCTATTGTTTAATATCTGTGAAGAGACAAGGAAAAAAATTTTTTTTTACTATTACTTTTCTTAAAAAAATTAACTTTTTCTTGTTTGAAAAGAGAAGTTAGTTGTTAAAAAGTGTCTGGAAAATGGATGTTTCCAGTAGATAAATATTGGCTTTGTACTTTATTTGAAAATTAGGAAAGAAAATATTGTAAATAATGTTTGAAGCAGACAATATTTCATTAAAAAAAAAGTAACATCTATGAAAAATGAATAATTTGGAGAACATTGAATTTGGGTCTATTTCAGTCTCTCTAAAAATTGGTGCTTCGGGTGGGGATCCACTCATTCCGCTGGCTCTGTAA